TGTTCTTGGCCTGTGAGGTAGTTTAGCACCTTTCTAGATGAAGCAGCTAGTCTTGATTTGGAGGAAATTACAGATTTTTTGAATGACAACTGGGAATGTTACACCAAAAAGACATACCATAAAAATTTTTATGATAGTATTTGCATCGCTAACCATGGCTATGAAGGTAAAGGGTAATGGTGCTGGTATGATATCAAATTGGAGATCCTGTATGTCATCATGGTACTAATGGAAAGTTTAGTATTGCAAGCATGTTAATTTGATGTTAAGAGTATGTTGCTTTCAGGTAACAAATTGTCTTTTCAATATTGTTTTTCAATTAAAATTTGCCTGCATAGAAGATAGCAGTTACATAGCATCCAGAAGTGATAAAATTGAATTCCATTTTATGGAAACCGATATACTTTGCCTCGGTGTTGACTTATTTGGAAAATAACAAAAAATTTACATTGTAGATTTGATTTGTCAGATCATCTATAATCCACCATTTCATGAATCAAGATTTAAGCATGCACTCTATGGCGACAAAATCAAAATTAAGCAGGCGGTAATAGGATGTCAGGAATCTCAACCTTTTGCAGAATCTAGAGTTGCTTTATGTACTTATGGGACCATGAAATTTCAGAAAACTCTTGATGGTTAACAATGACACTGGTTGTTTTAATGGCAAATGACCTTAAATGGGGTACAATAGGCTCAGTAAAATCATATCACTGTTCAAAATAATACACAAGATGAGAATGTTTTTATTAATGTAAGCTGAAGATCCCGAGCCCATGCTGGTTGAATTGCTATTAGATTGTACCTTTGGTGCCTATTGGTTTTGAAAAAGTTTTAGTGGTAAGGTGATTGAATGTATTTCTTGTTTTACGAGTTGTAAGCTAGAAAAAACATGATTAATTTGTTCTGTCGTTAAATCTGATTGATAAGATTAATGCCCGCTTGCATTCTAGGTGGCTGAGAGAGCTTTGTTCTTGTGGAACAATGATCATATTGACAATCTGATTAAACAGAACCGCAAGATTATACTTCCTATTATCTTCCCTGCACTGGAGAGAAATGCTAGACATCACTGGAATCAGGCTGTTCATGGTTTGACCCTCAATATTCGCAAGATATTCTATGATCTTGATCCTGAACTATTTAAGGAGTGCTTGCTTAAGTTTGAGGAAGTTGAATCAAAGCAAGAGGAGATTAGAGCAAAACGAGAAGCTACATGGAATCGCTTAGAAGAAATTGCAGCAGAAAAAGTTGCTAGCAATGAAGCTGTGCTTGTTTCTCAATCAAGTTTCCCTCATCTTACATGAGATTAGAGATGGCTAGATGTTTTTCATCTTCCTGTTTCTGGTTTTTTTTTTTTTTATATTTTGGATGGATCAATGAGGCTGCTATCCTGGATACTGAATGGACTTTGAAATTGACCTCAGACTATTTTTTTCTTAGGGAGGTGATTAGAGGGAACTGGGTGGGGAAAGTAATTTGTGGAGCCTTCAGATTTCAATTGCATAGCGTTGGTAGTCTTGAAGGCTTACTGTTGAATCATTTATTGTATCCTATTCAACTAGGCACTTGGGACGGGAGGTTATTTTACCATAAGAAGTATTTAGAGAGGTAAATTGACTGCTGTAATTCCGGTGGAAAACTTCACCATTTCTTTGGCTCTTTTGACTACAAGAAAACGCAAATTTGCTTAAATATTGCAGAACAAATCTTGATGGGCAATGACGGGCCATGGTGATCATCATAGCTTCTTTCTTGAAGCTTTATTCTCTATCCTACTTGACGACATAAAATGAGTGGGACGCATACTACTTCACACGAGTTGCAAATAAGCTTTGAGAAGGTAAAGAGTGTTTAATCATCCTCATCCTAAAATACAGTTTAAGGCACAATTTCCATTCCGTATGAAGGCTACACGCTCTGAAAAGTGAAAGCGGAAAGCCAAAGTGTTACGTTTAAGCAAAGGAAACAATGGGTAAACAAGCCTCAGTTTGCTTTGTAAACTCATATCAGCGGTAGTCCTTTTAACATTCTTGTGTAGTTATTATTACATCCAAAATCACCCTGTTAATAGTGCATGGCTTTTGTCATTATTCTTGCTTTCCCTACCACTGCATAAGCAGCCAACCGATTCTCTAGATGGTTACCTTTCGTAAGCCTAAAACCGTGAGCTGCATTTGACCTATAATTGTTAGCTGAGCATTGACCTGGAAGCGTACTTAGTTTTGATAGGTGTCATACGTTGTATTAGACTCATCTTGTTCGAGGAGGAGCTACAAAAGCTGAACGAAATGAAGTTGAGGAAATGAATTTTGACAACATTTGATCAGCTAAAAGTCTAACCATGTCGCCGCCTTCTTCCAAGTTTAACCATGCTACCATATCCGGTGTCTCTGACAACTACCAAGTTCTTGAAAGGTAGAGAGCTACTGATGTCATCCATAGGGATTTACGGGTGGAGAAAAATGCTGTTTTGTAGCCTAAATTTCCAAAGAGTCGAGCTGACTTCGAGCTCGAGCTAGAAAGTCAAGCGAAACTCGAGCTAACAGCGGGAGCTGCTTGCGAGTTAGAAATCGAATTTCACCTTACGAGTCTTGTCCAATCGAGGTCGAACCTGCCTTTTCCTTGTTCGAGTCGGTTTGATTTCCATTTTCTTGACTCGTCGAACTCGTGTTCAAACACGAGCTCACACATAAATAAGTCGATCTAGACTCGATAAGTTACAAAATCGATTCATTTGCAGCCCTAGGTTTACCGCAGCCAAAATCTGCATCGTATGGGGGGAATCTACACAAACTGCTAAAGACATGGAATCAAACACCCTTTGGCAATATATTTCCGTAGAATTTGAAGAGCAGATTTGAAAACTCGTTCTCATCTCTTATTCTCATTGCATAATCGCAATCAAGACCCTCGATGGCGCCTCTCATCAACTTTATTATGCCACATTTATCACACGTTTTAGTGATAGCAGGCAGGTAATATTTCCGAAACAAGCATCTAATTCCATTGATGGTATCCTTTTCCGCATGTTCACCACTTGAACCAGAGCGTATAACTTTCGATCTAATTCTTCTTGCGGTCCAGTGGCTGCAACAAATCGATCCCATATTAAAGCTGACAATGCCTTGAGATGCTACCATTGGCATATTTAGGGATGTTTTGAACTATTTCAATCGTCAACTCGTCTCCTCATTTATTTTAATTTTTAAATCTCAAATTGGAGGGATTTAACAATAAAAAATAGACTTAACGATCATAATTGTCTTGTTCAAGTTCATATTAGGCCAATGAGAAAACAAAAAAAAAAAAAAAAGTCAATTGTCTGCCACGACTATTATGGATTAGTTTTTGGCGACCATTCATGTTATTATCTGAGTGGGGGATCGATGGTGGAATCAATAGCTAGAATTTGAGATCCGAAGACTAGACACCAAAAAAAGAGTTGAAAACTCCCAACGCTGCTGTTGGGTGTTTCCAAATCTGACCTCCTTCCTGATAATGATTGATTATAATGCCCCGACATGACTAGTCGAATATTACATAAAAGACAAATGTAAACAGAAACATTCATTTGTTAATTGTTCAAAGGAAAGGAAAGGAAAGCTAATCCGTTCATACCAAACCAAAGTCACAAGAAAGAAAGCTATATTCTTTAATACCCAAGGCTACAAAAACACGACCATAAGCAAGAAAGTCGAGAAATTTATTGACTCGTGACCAAGCTCTCCGGCCACTTTTATGGGCAAACTTCTGCAAAATGTACTATACCATGTGATTTGCTAAAATGTTAAGAGGAGACCTCTATTCTATCGTCTTCTTGGCCTAATTCAGCAATCATCGCCCGAATGGAACGGGGGACAAAGTCTTAAGCATGCAAGAGAAAAGTGCAGCAATTATAAAACACAAACGAGTTTAATAAGTCTGAGCTGCACGTATACGTAGATGCATATATAGCCGGCAGAAGTTACATAATCAACTCGAAGTCATTATTCATCAGAGATCAAGCTGAAGAATACATGATTCTAGATTTTATATTCCACAAACAGTTAATTTACCATCTAAACATTCCAGAACATGAACTTTGATGATTAAGGCTTACAAATTGAACAACTTAAACAAGGAAGCAAAATCCTCAAATACAGAAAGAGGCGCAGTACTATAATGAATCCTTTCTAGACACCTTTTGCCTAAGCACTAGCTCTATTTCTATGTATATGTCACTAAAACTCGTGCTCAAGCTTCAATGTGGCATCCAAGAAGACGAAACATGCGTAAGCAACTCTTTGTTAGCTTCAAGTTTAGCCATATCTTCCAGCTTGATATTGATCCAGGAAACACAATTTCATTCATCCATCCATCGACATCACTTTAAGCAGGCAATGTGACATATTAGATGGCCTACCATTTCTAGCTAGTGTCAAAAATCAAATGGCCTTCGCGTTACAAATGGAAAGAAACCCTTTTTCTATCAACTCAAATTGCTACTTAGATGTTAATAGAACACGACAAATTAAAGATACTTATTTGTGTAATATTGTGGAACATTATTCACTTACTTGCTTTTTTCTAAAAAAACATTATTCACTTACTTATGCCATGCGTTTCTCAATCCTTCTTGTTGCGTGTTTGTGTGTGTGTGTGTTTTTTTTTTTTTTTTAATTAATAAGACGTTCAATGAATCCACATGCATGCATCCAAAGTATATACTATTTGATTGGTTGGTCATTGGTGGATGAGACACTATTGTCTTCTAAGGACTAATTCAGCAGTTATCACGTTTAATGAGTATGAAAAGAGTACAATGGTTAATCACAAAAGAAAGTAGGAAACTTGCATACACTATCATTTTGAGAGTTACGGATGTTTTTCTACCATAGATGATTGTCTGATATAAGTACTGATTTATTCTCGCAAAGCCAACGTTATCTTCTCCAAATCTCTCTGTAGCAGATCAAGGCTCGTAATCAACTTCTAGGCACTATTCAACACAGACTAAATTGGGGGGAAAAAAACACGAATAATAGATGTTTTATATTTCACCAACAGCTAGCATTTAAACAGTCCAGGACATGAGTTTGATATTTAAGAATGACAAATTACAAGACTTGGATAAGGAAGCAAAATCCCCAATAAGAAAAAGACGGCGTAGTACTACAACTTCATTATAGGTACATACTTTTCCTTAAGCATTGGCGCTCCATTCCAATATCAACGAAATCTCGAGCTCAAGCTCCAATTTGACATCCATATCGAGAAGCATAGAGAGCGAATTAAGTTTTAGCATCAGTGCTTGTGGAAACATACTTAAGCAACTCCTTGTCAGCTTCAAGTTTAGCCATGTCTTCCAACTTCATATTAATCCACGCCTCTATGCCATCTCCAGATTGTGTATCCAAGAAAACAACAAGGTTTTTAAAGGTGAGGCTGGCCGAACCAATCCATACTGGCTTCCCCCATCCAAAATCAGCTTCATATGATGGAAACCTACACAAGCTAGTAAAGCTAAACGAAACCACCTCGCCTTTGTTCACCAGCTTAGCTCTCTCCTTGATGAAGTTCAAATGCTTATCGCCTTCGCGAAGTTTAGTTACGTATTGATCTCCTCCCACATTACGTATTGCATCTCTCACTTGATTCACAATCCCATAACCTTGTTCATCGTTGTCAAATGAAGGTATGGTTATAGCTGGCCTGCTGAGATTACCAAAATAACATTCCGACAAAGGCGGATGCATCCTTGGTCTTAGGTTCACCGCATGATTTAACATGTACATTTTATCGCGGTTATCTTTGTGTCCGGCGGTGGCTGTCAGGAAACGAGTCCAAATGAAAGCTGATAGCGCCTCAATCCTAGTTGGACGTATTTGATGATATTCATCACCAGTTGCGGTATTACTGTTAGTTGTATACTTCTCGCGAAGAGAAGCGATCTTTGAGGCTGTAAATACAAGCCTCTTGGTCACAATTTCGTCCTTTTTCACCATACCCAGGGCATGGTTATAGCCTGCAACATCTCTAGGTGGAAAGATGGCAGCAGATTCAAAGATTGGGGACCGTGTATCATGGCTGTCCCTGCGGGAAATGGTAGCCCAGCTGGTTACAAACAAGAAAAGTGACGTGGCATCCGCAATCTTGTGAGAAATGGCTACTCCTACAGCAACTCCACCGCATTCGAATAAAGTAACTTGGATAACCATCCCAATATCTTTCACATCATCCAAATCAAAAGGGAGAAATTTGTTGAGTTCTCCAGGGATGGGATTGTCAAGAAAGTCCGAAAGTCTGCAGCTAGCCCGAGCTTCGACATAGGGAATGCCCTCGTCATTGCAGTCGACGTAGGTGTTGTCAATGAGCCGTCCCGCTAGAGGATAGAATCTGGTTAAGGCCTCCGATAGAGATTTCTTGAGCTGGTTTAGTTTGCCCGGACCTGAAGTACTGGTGATGAGATGGTTCTGATCAGATGGATAAAAGAGAACAAGAGGCATAAAAACAGGAGGGTTTATTTGATCAAGAAAAGAGAGCGGGTAGTGTTGAAGATGATCAGGGGTTGGGGAAGACGGCTTGATTGTACATCTGGAAATGACTTGTACATCAACCTTCATTTTTGAGCCAAGCTAAGTACGACGGTTTTGATGATATATGGATAGATACTCTCTTTTTCTTCTCCCAGTTTACTCGCGAGGTTATATGTCGAACGTGTGTTGGGAGGAGACCGCTGGGACCAGCTTAAATAGGGCTACCACACCACGAAAGTCAAACTCATGGCCTTCTTGTCCCAATCGGAAAGTAAGCCCTGTAATCCTGAAGGTGAAAGCCGACATTCAATCTTCCCAAATTAATCAACTTTTTATGTGTGAAATCATGCAGCTTTTTCAACCTTGTGAGCTTGTAGTAGTTGGAATGGCTGACATGATGGGATCAGAATAAAGGATCGGATCTGAATATGTCTGCGATATCAAATTTCAATTGTCAACCCTTTTTTATGGATTCTTTGCACAACTCGCTAATCATATAGACGCGCGCGGATAGAACCTATGACAAATTATAGTAGTGTATATTTTTATTATCACTAGCATCATTTACTTTACTAACATGGTGAATAATAAAATATTCCAGGATACCGGAATGTGGTGGGATTGCACCTGATTTAATTAGGCAAAGAAGACGTACGGTTACTCAGTGCTAGCTCGTACATCATTAATTTTGCTTGTTGTGGAGAAAATTTTTGGATTGCTATTTTCAGAAATTTTTATATAAAAATGTTCTGTGGCGATTTGATATATATATGAAGTAGAAAGATCATTAATTAAAAAATATGTTCGCAAAAAACATAAAAAAAATTTTCTGTGAAAAAATCACGATCCAAATTTTTTTTGGGTTTAATAAGCAATTCTCCAGTTGCCCAAGAGCGCTGGCCACAACTGCATGCCTTAATTTTGTCAATTTATTTATTTTTGGGTAGAGTTTGAGAGAAGCGCGAACGATGCATCAATATTATGAGATAATCAACTGTACTACTTAACGAAATCTGATTGGTGAGCCATATGTATATAGCATGAGAGCTTCAGTTGGCTATTTATTTCGAGCCTTTACGAAAATATTTGGTTACTCAGACAATTAGTTACTCCCGTGACTAGGGGTACAAACAAATCTAATTAAGTCGAACATCCTAATACTTAAACGTATTTGATTATTTTAATGATTTTAAATTTTTGTTCATATTGTTTAATTATCGAATCGAGTTTGAACGAACTTTTTTTATTGAATATAAAAGCCATTGAACACGAAACACTGTTTAAATTTGATTTAACTAGTTGGTAAATCGAGTTTAAACGAGTTATTACCAAATCAAATTCGATTTAAATATCAAGTAATTTGATTAATCTTTCAATCATACCCATGATAGTTTTTTAAGGCTACCAAGAAAATTATCAACCATCTCTTGCCCAGATAACGTGCGAACAAAATGAATGGAAGTTCTGTTGACTATTGTCGGCTACAAAATACCTAACTTCTGGTGTGATTCCTCACAAGTCACACCAAAAAAAAAAAAAAAAAAAAAAATTATTTTGTTTTTGGGAGCAAATCGCCCATTGTAATATAGTGTACTTTGATTACATTTAAGTAATTTAATTCCAAACGAAGCTATTCTGTCAAACATTTATTTTCCTCGAAGCTCATCTCGGTTGTCTTGCATCCTGGAGAGTGACCCACGCCTTGAAAATTAAAATAAGCCTCAAATGGCCAATCATGGTATGGAATGAATGTGGAAATTCCTCCTGCAACATCCACTTTTGATCAGATCTAATTTCGTTGGCTTGCAATGTAATGTGTTTCTGTAAAAGGGGGAACTTCTTTGACTTTTGTTACTTTATTATTTTATAGTACTTCGTTTGTTTAGCTTTTGACCTGACCTTTGTAATCGGCTTTTTTTTTTTTTTTTTTTTTTATCAAATTTCAATATTTAGGTCTAAGGATCCTTACAGAACTATCTAAGGCAGGATTGGAAAATAATATGTTTTATTTGTGTAATATTAAAAAAAGATAAGAAGTTGATTTTTTTTTTTCATTCGGATAAAGCATTCTTGGACAACGGTTTCAGAGGAAAAAAAGAGAAAAGAACAGTAGAAAATATTTGAAGAAAATACTCAATAATTGCTTAATGAGCCAAGAATGGTTTGGCTTGGGTACATTTCGACAACAGATTTCTTGCTCGACGAGCATCCAGAGATGCCTCAAGCTTCAGCGGCAAGGCATTTTAGCAGCTTACTAATCCAGCCCATTGGAAGGCTAAGCAATGGGGGATTGGGTTTCCGGAAATACTGCCACAAATGTGCTTTCCTCGTCCATTGATAAATTTGGGTCGTGGCCCAAGATAAAGAACAAAAAGCCCATGAAAAACTAATGCTATGACACATTACAAAATTACAACCCGAGATTGATTTCCAGAGCGGGAACACGTGAGTCTAGATAGAAGGTTATTCAACCATTGACCACTAGGTGGAAGGGACATTGGCTGAGTTGGTGGACCACTAGGTGGAACAAGAAGGCAAATGTCCCTTGCCATGTGTGTTTGATGGACTAAATTTAGGTCATTTTATATTACACCTAATTACATTTTTTGAGGTTTAAACTTAGCTAAGATGGGCTTGGATGATGTGTGAATAATTATTAATCTGAGTTTTGTTTACCCGCCGGTAGTTATCGACACTGTTATCCGTTAGTCTGAGGAATAGGCAAAAGAGATCGATTGAGGTTTAGGGTAATTTGGGATTTCCAGTCAAATAATTTGTCAATATCACTAAAAAGAAAAAATATTTGTCAATGTTAGATCATTAACGATTGGGGTATAGCTGTTATAGGTTCTCATAATGGAGGATTTTTTTTTTTTTTTTTTTTTTGTAATATAGCAAAACCTCAAGGTCTAACCTATAATTTGGTCATGCCTTAAGAAAGGTAAATATAATTAACCCAAAATTATTTACAATTTTTTTTAAAAAAAGTGTATCCAAACAAACACACAGTTGAACGATTCCAGAGAAAAGATGTCACAACCTTTGTGTTTGGATTGCAATTTTTCAAAGAAAAATTATTACGTTTTTTGTGGATACGTTTTTCAATCACCTTTTTACCTCACATACATTAAATCGTTACAGTAATTTTTCTACAAAAAATCCAAAAAATGCGATCCAAACAAAGCGTTGAAGTAGGTAAATCTCAAATAATTCTAGGCAACTGCCTCAAAAAACATATTTTATTCATTTCTGCTAAGAGTTAAGCGCCAATTAGCATATTTAGAACCAGAACGAAATTGCATAGATTTTTTGAATGTGTTTGGTGCAATTTCTCACAACGTAATATCCCATCCAAAATCCATCTTGTTTTCCCCAGCTACAAAGTCAGGAACGAAAAACAGCAAAAAAAAAAAAAAAAAAAAAAAGATGTAACGGACTAGCAATTGAGTCAAAAAAGGAGGCCCTTTACTTCTAACATTTTGTCAATTTTGACATGAGAGAATATGTCAAATTTGTGGTATTAATTAATGATTAATCAAAGTTTGAAATACCTTTAGGGTTTCTTTCATGGTGAATCAGCCATGACAGAAGCGCCAATAATTAATGGTAATTACTATCCTAAATTACTAGTAGTAAATTAGCAGCACTACTACGTGGCAGTGGAATTCTTTCCGGTCAAATCAAACACAAAAGTAATTCTGTGATTGTTGCCTTGGCTCCCATCTGATCTGACGATTGGTATTCCATTAGCCACCTCATCACCGTGTACGCCCAGCTCATGCCATTATTGACGCTTCCAAAATGACTCTCTGCTCCTCAACCTACATGCTAAACCCTATACCATCCTTCCTCCACCATCGATCTTCCAAAGCCCTGCATTTATCTTGAAGAGTGATATTTATAGTGTCCGGTTAGTATTTAGCAATTGTTGGAGGCATATTATTATTTATTATTTATTGAGTAAAAGGTTAAAATGGAAATGCATATATCAATTATTATTTATTTTCTCTGATTGATCCTAAGCTCTACATTTTTTTGACATAAATTATTTAGAATTTTACATATTACCGATTTATCTACGATTGCATGTTAATTTTGATTTGTGTGTAACCGACTTAGAATTCAAGTTTGCATTATTTCTATTCTTTTCCCACATTCAGGGCAAAATTTTTCAATTAGACAACAAAAATATGAATTTTACGTTTGATCATAGAAGTATCGTTTTATCTAATTAGTTATCTGGAAAGTTTATTCCGTCAAAACTTCATCTAATAATTAATTTGGGTATGAACAAGAATTTGAGTTAATTGATAATACATTTTTTTTTTCTTTTGGAACGTTTTTGGGAGAATATTTTGCACCATTGGATATTGATCCACAGATGAAATGCTCCCATCATTAGACGCTGGTGCCGCATACACCTCTCTCGCAGAGGATCATCTCTCAGGTGCCAGCGAAGAGTAGCTCAGACCACCTCAGCCTTGGAGTCCCACTTTTCAACCATGACTATAAATATGGCAACGATTCAAACAGGAAGAAACTTCAGTGGGTCTAGAAGGACAGGAAGAAAACGAGGAAGCAGAAGAAAAGACCACAAAAATACCCCATTATCAAATTTTGATTTGAATCAGTCCCAATTTCTCTTTCTACTCCCACTAGAATTCGGAATACCCCGCAATCCCTATTTATGTATGCTTTTATAGATGAGACTGTAGAAATTTTTATTTTTCCTCCAAAAGAAAAAGAAAAAGAAAGCAGAGGATGCCGAGTGTAAAGGTGAAAATTTACAGCGTTCTCAGCAAATTCTACCTCAAGCGCCGATTGCAGACTTTACTTGAGAGCTCCATCTCGGATTTGAACTCCTATGGGGTCGTTTCACGGCCGGACGAGACTGTGGCCCCCGCCGTTCCTAGCTTCTCCGACACCGATGGCGTGGCCACCAAGAACCTTCACATCGATCCATTAACGTCCTTGTCGTTGAGAATTTTCCTGCCGGACTCCGCGATTGTTTCCCCGAACTCTCTTCCCAAACTTAGGGTTAGGGTTTCGAGCAAAAGTAGAGTTGGTGTTAGTAATGAGTCGGAAAACGGGGTTTATGGAGGGTATTTACCTGATAAGAATCGGAAGAATTGTAAGAAATTGCCGGTCATTGTGCAGTTCCATGGAGGGGGCTGGGTGAGTGGGGGGATTGATACGGTGGCTAACGATACGTTTTGTCGGCGGATGGCGAAACTGTGTGATGCTGTGGTTGTTTCGGTAGGGTATAGATTAGCGCCCGAGAGTAAGTATCCGGCAGCCTTTGAGGATGGGTTGAAGGTCTTGAAGTGGTTGGCAGAGCAGGCAAATTTGGCAGAGTGTAATCAGTCATTTGAGAACGGGAAATTTAGTGGCTTTCACGGAGAGGGAGGTGGCAGGAGGCGGCAAATTGTTGATGGATTTGGGTCCTTGATAGTTGAGCCGTGGCTGGCAGCTCACGGGGACCTTTCTAGGTATAATTTCCTACATGCTTAGAGCTTTCAATATCTAAGTTTAACATGCTCTTGCCGTCTTAAGTTGCATGAAGTTTGATTTACATAAAATTTGAAATAGTAGGAAAATACTAATGCGAGATGGGACTTGAATGAGGAATTTAAGCACTCTGTCATAAGGTTCTGATTTGAAATCTGTGGTTTAAAAGCTACGTTCATGTGCAGCTATGTTCCATAAGCTTTTTATTTGGGGATGGTAGATGTTTTTGTTTGTTTTTGAACAAAAGATGGATGCTTCTTTGCAAAATAATCGTTTTTACTTAGTCTTTTGTGTTTCAGTCTTAGATCTATTCATTTCGGCAGACAACATGTTTTGCAGCATTCTGAATTTTTGAAAAACCTTGTGAACATTCTGATATCTTGTATACATACAAGGAAGTCACTGGGTTCGCACTTCTTGCCACATAAGCCTCCAAAATTGCTCATCACTAGCATGATCTTAAGTCTGAAGTACCAGCTCGCTCATCCTTTTTCATTAGCCACATCTTTGCGACAGTTAGAATATATTCAACCATCTGTTGCCTTTGCACTTGCACTAAAGCACTAAAATTGCATTGTTGTGCTTCCAATATCCTTTCCAAACTTGTCCATGTTTGCATGGTCAAATGCACATATTCTGATGAATCTACATTTGTTTTCTTTTATTACAATCTATGTCTGTGATGGAAGCTAATGGAACTGGTATGCTTTAGGGAAATGAGATTGAGTAACATAGATTCATTACATTTGGCATTTATGAATCTGTTACATGGTTAAGGATATATCATGTGTATCCATTGGTGAAAAAGGGGAACAGAAAGGGATGAGCATTATAACTGTCCGGTTTCTGCGGTAGTGTCTTTCAAGTGCAACTTAGATAAAGATAAAATCTATGGGGAATAGTCTTTTATAACAGCTGTACTTATTTAATGTAAGTCTATCCATTTCAATTCTATCTATTTGAATATGTGTCTCATCCCCCCTCCAAAAAAAAAATGCAAAAAAAAAGAGAAGGAAAAAGAACTTCATTGGTTTCGTGCAACGTGGCTTCATCATTGTTTCATTGTCAAATATATATATATATATATATATTTTAATTTTAGTATCTCCCCTCGATTACTTTGTGTAAGGCTACTAACTTGGCTTTTCATTGTATAGATGTGTCCTCCTGGGAGTTAGCTGTGGTGCCAATATTGCAAACTATGTTGCTCAAAAAGCTGTTGAGGCTGGCAAGCTTTTGGATCCCGTAAAAGTTGTTGCACAAGTCCTTATGTACCCTTTTTTCACTGGAAACATTCCAACAAAGTCTGAGATTAAGCTGGCAAATTCTTACCTGTATGACAAAGCTATGTCCATGCTTGCATGGAAACTCTTTCTACCAGAAGAAGGATTTAATCTGGACCATCCAGCTGCCAACCCTCTCTCTACCTGGGGATTGGTTCCCCTTAAATACATGCCTCCAACGCTCACCGTTGTTGCAGAACATGACTTGATGCGAGATCGGGCAATTGCATACTCGCAGGAACTTCGAAAGGTCAACGTAGATGCCCCCCTTCTCGATTACAAGGATGCTGTGCATGAGTTTGCCACCCTTGATTTACTTCTTGGGACGCCTGAAGCCCAGGCTTGTTCAGAGGACATAGCCATATGGATGAAGAAGTATATATCACTGCGAGGGCATGAGTTCTCTTATTAACATCCTCTAGACCGTAAGGAATCATCGTTGTCAAGAGCAGACTGGTGGACTACTGCTGTTAACGTGCTTGTAGCAAATTCTGCTCTTTTCACCCTACAATGATGGTAGGGAGAAAATTAATAGGAAAGCAAAAGAGCTGGTGGAGCTGTATAATGGACATGCCAAGTTAACCTCTGGGAATGAGCTAGTTACGGAAGGGAGGAAGATATCCATATTATCTTGGCTGGCAACTTGAGGTTGTACATTATTCTATCTGCTCTTATTCTTTTAGTCTTGTTGTTGTATGCTGGAAATAGGTGTCATTGGACGCTGAGATTATTTTTCTCGATATCCAAGGTAGCTTACTTGTCGTTTATTGATGATCCGTTAACAAAATGCCCGTGTACAGGAACAAGGGCATTACATATATGTAAATTAATAGAAAAGGGGTCTAATTTGTCCTTTCCTGTTTGATCACTTGTAATCTTGATAATCTAGAAATATAGCCAATAGGATTCCTGAAAGATTGAGGTAATTGGTCTGTTTCCTCGGATGACTTTGTAGAAGTTTTTCTTTCGTTTCACGCATTTGAGTTGTGGAAAGTAATCCAATGGCCGAATGAGATACTAAAACAACCATACAAATGGCAAACAGTGGTATATCCTTTGCAGGCTGCTGGATACTCATAATTCCGTGTACTTTGTGGTATATCCTAATATGTGTTTGGCCGGCTACAGTTTCATCGGGTTTTTGTGACAGAATTATGATATGGATATAATGTTTAAGAAAAATTTTCCTGGTTAAGATAGGACGGATGATAGCCCAGGCATTAAAGACTCGAGTTTATTGTGGAATTTCTTATGCAGGCAAAGAATTAGGATTTCGATTCTCTGCACTCTTTAATGCAAAGAAACGTAAAGGTTTAGATTCTTTTTGCCTTGTTGAATAAGAGTAACATCTTGTATGCATTATAAGTGAAAAATGTTCAAATAAGAGAAAAACGTTTGGATTGTAGTTAAAAAAAAAAAAGGAATTTCAGACAAGTGGTTCTAGGTTTAAGTATAAAGATAAAGGATTTAAACTTACCGGCAAAAGATGCAAAATCCGTGAAATTTTTTTTGCAGTCTATTAGAAAAACATATTATAAAGCGGATGGTAACATAACAATTAGAATAGGTTCCTGATACCAGAATGAGCTGGAAAACTTAATTAATCAGACAGTTAAACATCTTCATCTCCAAGAAACAAGGGATTTCTTGAAAACGATGGACAGGTTTGTTCTAATTGCTCTATGGCTTCTTGGAACTAGACTAACTTTCATCCATTTCGTAGTAATGCTGCAAAAGTTTCATGATTCAATTGTGATGGACCTAGTTAATATCACCCCACAAGAAAACCTGTGTACATATATAGCTGTTCATCGTTAATGGGCCACATTCGATTCATGCTGATATATTCAGTACCCAATAGTAAACTTGTAATCTCCTTATGGAACCCAAGTTCTTCTGTTACGATAAAAGTAATGCTTCAAACAGTCTCGATCTAAATGCATCTTCTGCTTCGTGCTATATCCTCTCTTTCCAGGATTCCTCTGGCTTAGACGAAACAAGAAATTCTAAGCGGCTAAAACAGCTGGACAACTTTAACCAATATTTTGGAAACGAATATCATCATGATTGCAGCAGAGATGTGGTATACGAGGGCAGCATCAATGGAAGGACAGAGGAAAAGAAATGTTCGACAAGGCCTCTGTTTCGGGATCATATATGGGCTTACGCACAGAAATACATGGCGGCTGCTGCAGTGGAAGAAGCAGATGGCGCCTATGATAAAGAGGAGCACGTCATTAAGGAAGAGGGAAAAGAAGATGGAATGAGACTAGTGCAGCTGCTCGTTGCTTGTGCTGAGGCTGTGGCGTATCGTGATAAGCGCCATGCCTCTACTCTCATAGCTGATCTTCAGGCTGATGCCCTGGTTTTTGGAACTTCGTTTCAGAGAGTTGCTTCCTGCTTCGTTCAAGGTCTTTCTCATCGCCTTGAACTGGTTCAACCACGTGGAGCAGTTGGGGATATAGGGGCGATTCCCAAGACAATTGCCTTCTCACTGGAGAAAGAGAAGGCTTTAGGTCTTGTTTATGAGATCTGCCCACATGTTCAGTTTGGTCATTATGTGGCCAATGCTTCCATCTTACAAGCCTTTGAGGGAGAGAGTTCAATTCATGTTGTGGACTTGGGCATGACCCTGGGTCTGCGCCATGGTTACCAATGGCGGAGTTTGATATTCAACCTCGCCATTCGTGCAGGCCGACCTTGTCGCTTACGTATTACTGGAGTAGGAAATTGTGCTGATCGGCTTCTGGTCATTGGTGATGAGCTGGGGGAATATGCACAAAACTTGGGAGTCAAATATGAGTTTGCGGTGGTAGAAAGCAATTTAGAAAACTTGCGCCGAGAAGATTTGAAGATTCTTGATGATGAGGTTCTGGTTATCAATAGCATACTTGAGTTGCATTGTGCTGTGAAAGAAAGCCGAGGAGCACTGAACTCTGTCCTGCAGATGCTAAACGACTTGACACCGAAGGCCTTCATATTGGTCGAGCAGGAGTCAAGCCACAATGGGCCTTTCTTTCTAGGAAGATTTATGGAGGCATTATACTACTATTCTGCAATCTTTGATTCGCTAGATGCAATGCTTCCAAAATATGATACAAGGAGATCGAAAATGGAGCAATTTTATTTTGGAGAGGAGATCAAGAACATAGTGAGCTGTGAGGGACCAGCCAGGGTGGAGCGGCATGAAAGATTAGACCAGTGGAGGAGGCGAATGGGTCGCGCAGGGTTCCAACCGGCTCCAGTCAAGATGCTTACACAAGCCAGGCGGTGGTTAGAGAGTGTCCAAGCCTGTGAAGGTTACACCATTTCTGAAGAGAAGGGATGTTTGGTCCTTGGATGGAAATCAAAGCCAATCATTGCAGCATCTTGCTGGAAGTGCAGCTAGCTATGTACTCGAGTTTGCTTACATACTCGGAAGTCTTTTCCCTTTCGGGCTGGCCTTCTCATGGTGCAGCCGTGCATGAATATAGAATAAGACATCGGGTTTCCGATGACGAATAAGCTGGAGATCTGAATGTATTACATCCTCCCGAGAAAAGGGAGTTATTACGCAATACCAAGATCTATCCCTTTTGTTCGTGATGTTGACTCATTTCTGCATTAGTTTGCTTAATATAGTCGCTTATAGTACTCTGTATGCTTCATTTATGGCATCGAAGAAAGGTTAGGATGTTCTTTACTTTGTTTTTTTCCAGTGCCCATATCATAATGCCTTTATTCCTGTAACTTTTCTAAATTAGCCTCGGGAAAATGGACGGATAAACCAAATTCCAGTATCATGTTCCTAAATCACGGTTTTTTGCAAGAAATTTCATTGACAATGGTTTACCAAAGTCCAAAATACTCGTAAAGTCATGATCTTTGATAACTATGAAAACATCTAATAAATATTTTGTGACAGAATTGAAAAATAAAAAAAGGAAAAAAAAAAGTTTCAATCTTTGCCACTCTAGCTGCCACGTGTATGGTCAATAATATCCTTTAACACTCTTCTCAAAAAATATAGAAGTAAAAGAAGGAGTGGATGGTGGATAAGCTAAGCCTTAGGCTAAAACTCCAACTTCGCGGAAGACTGGTGATTTGTCCATCCTTGCATCTTGCAATTTCTTCAAGAAAGCAAGAATTAACTTCATACCACTTCCACTCAGGAAGAAGAAAGACAACAACAGTTCCAGAAAAGGGTGACAGATAATAGTTTTGAGAACAATATGGAGGCTACCATGTCTCTGAATCCACTAATTAGACTGCCGATTTCTAGTTCAAGAAATGTTGAAGACTCTCTTGTAAGGCACTCTCTGGTCTCAACAAGGAGACCCCACAAGGGGCAGAGGCAAAAGCACCTCCGGCTGCTGATTGTTGAAGCCAAAGGAAAGAAAGGAATGGCAGCTCGTCAATACCAGAGGACTCCTCCCCCTCCTCTGCCTAAAATTGAGGATGATGGCAATCCCCGTTTTGTTATCTTCATCCGCATGGCAAATGTTAGCTTTTCCTTTTCCCTCCCTATCTCTGCTCAACTGAGAAGTTCGCATACGTTTTGTTCCTTTTGCCAATTTCAGCTAACTGATGATTGGGATTTCTTTCTGTTAAGCAACTTAAATGGAAAAAGTTTACATTTTTATTTTGCATGTAACTCTTATAGGATTAAAATTTTGAGAAGGAAATGGTTGTCAATTATTTAAAGCCCTAGATAATTTGTTTTGTTTTAATGTAAAAGGTCATGGTTGAAGGAAATTCTGATGTTGTTTGGTCTTATACTTGAGCAGGTTTATCTTTGGTATCCTATTAATCTTGTAACAGGTGGCACCACTGCAAAAATCATGGTTGCTGCAAAAGACAATTTCCTGGGAAAATACATTTATAAGGATACTCTAGATAGGAATCTTGCTGCAGTTATTTACAGAGTGAGTAGTGCATCCCTACAAAATGTTGATGGTTCTTAGTTTTGTTATACCGTGCTTATGGCTGTAGCTTCCTTTCTTGCCCGTTATGTGCATTCCTTGTTGATTAGTTGTCGATATTTGCAAAAATTTCAGCTGTCCTCTTAATTTGAGGGCACAACTAATGAAGATTTTCTTCAACATGAATTAGTGAATTACTATTGTCTTTATACCCCAACTTCAGCTTACATAAATCATTCCTGTATTGTCTGCCGCATACTAATGGAAGACTATGTATTTAATGTTCTTAGTTTTCAATTTAAATTTAACTTCAAATCCTGCGTCCTAAATGTTTCTAAACGTTTATAGGTGAGTGGTGTGGGTATATCACTGCTCTAGCATCACTGCCTTTTTGCTTTCCTTTCATGTGCAAAAGTCAGCTGGGATAATATGTCACTGATGCAAATCTCTGTAATTGAATAATGCAGGATGAAAAGGAAATTCAGAAGATGGCAATGAAACAACATCGGGTGTTGCGGTCAGCTACAGAATTTCGATATGGTTACAAACTTGTGGTAATGGTCCAAGTCTCTTTTCCTTGTTTGTACTGTGTTGTAATAAATGTTGGCGGTTGCTGTCGTATTTGTGTATGCTGTATATGGATTATTGAAAGAGTAATCTTTCTATGTTAACATGTAGGAGAATAACAATTTGAGAGCCGCACTTTCTAGCAATGATGTTATTGAGGTAATCTTTTGTCCTTATTATTTGTCAGGCAATATTACTTCTTTCCATAGCTGTTAAGCAAGAAGTGGTATAAACTTTTTATTATGGAATATCTACTGGTAATTTTACCAGGGAACTTCACATTTCACTAGTTATCATTGTTTATCATAATAGCCTACAGAGGTAGACCTTCAGTTTCTTACAGGTACATGTTGTAGAAAACCATATCTGGTAAAAGCACAACCATCTTATTGCTAGCTCCTTTGAAGAAATAATTAGTTTCTGACATCAATACAATGACTGCTCTGGAAGTTTGACCAAATCTAAAAGCGAAATTGGCTGTTTTGAATTTACTGGGTAGATGAGATTTTAACAATCAGCTAATAATCTAGTGATTAAATTGGTGTAACACTGTCAATTGTGAGTTAGCATTCATTTTACCCATCGGTCCTATCTTTCAAATCATGGAATACAGTTTTCCATGTGGTATTCCACACATAGTATGAAAGAATTTGGTAGTAGCATCAAAAAAACAGCCATAAGTTCTAGAGGAGGAGGCACTCAGACAAGGAAAACTATGCATCAAGTATGACAACTTCACAGTAATTGCAGAATTTCAGGCATCCAGCATGTTATAGTTAATTATAGTTTGCAAGAACCTTCCATTTATCTCTGAAACGGTTGACATAAGGAGGATCTAGATAGAATTCTAGACTGACATTGTTCTGTGGTAATATTATGCACATAACTGCCATCTACGATCTGGTCTCTTAGCTCCTGCATGCATATTTGAGGTCAAATAATACACTCTGGATTATTGTGTAAAAGCTGCAGTATGTGTTATTTGTGTTGTGGAACGTATTTTGTTGCTTACCGCTCCAAAAATACTTGCTTTCTCCAGCTTCCAAGGCAAGAAGAGCTCAAAACAGTTCTGGACAAAGTTAAGGATTTCTTTGGGGATGCCAAGGAATCTTTTGGAAAGCTCACTTCATTAAATGCAGTCTCCGAGTCATCGAAGGAAGATTCCAAGGAACAAGCAAACAAAAAATCCACGTGAGTCTATGCTTGAACCTTAGCTTTGTATGATGTGAGTTTTATCCTCTGTTCTGCATCTTAATTTGACTTTAAAACATGTTAACGGATTCCCCAGGGTGAAAAGCTGAAAGGTGACCTGCTAAAGGAAGAATTCTCAAGCAAAGGAAACTTTGGACATGTTGAAATAGCTGGTGAACTTCGAAAGTTCATTTGTCACGTTAAAAGGGGTGAAAGATAGGATATAATTTCAAATTCCAGGAAACGCTAAGAGTTTTGTTTGTAGATATCCTCATTTGACAAAAGCTTTTGGAGTTCCTTGCAGTGGATTGTTAGTTTGTATTTTGGGATGTGCTATACACTGTAATCAAACAATTCCAGCTCTGAGCCTCGCCAAATACTCGAGTCTTCTGTTGCGCATGTAGCTAATGCAACAGGTTTTTCATCAAGAGAGAAGCACCAATTTTCTGTTTCGTCAATGTTATGATTCAAGACCATCTTTTCTTTTTGCTCAACCTCACGGTGAAGTATACCTTCCTTGAGGATTCGTACATAACTCTCATTTATTTATTCTTTCCATTTTGGTTTTTTTCTCTACAGAGTAACCAAAAAAAAAATTTATCAACAACTACCAGAATTACTCCTTTACTCAGGAAGACAAATAAAAGTAAAAGCAAGGGGTAGTTGACGGAGTGGAGAAACTACAAGATTTTCGAGTGCATTAGCTTATACGGGCAAATTCTTGATGAGAGGAACTAATTTCAGAGCTGATCGTTTCCTAGTTGCAAGCCCGAAAATTTCTGTAAGATCAACAGCGTCAGCTCCAACCCCTTGAGGCAGCGCCCAGTCAAAATGATACAACAAACGGGCTAGCGAAATCTCAACACTTGCTAACCCAAAGGAGAAACCCGGGCAACCTCTCCTTCCCCCACCGAACGGCAAAAACCTGAAATCTTGACCCTTAAAATCAATAATATCTTTCCCCACAAACCTTTCGGGGTTATATTCCAAAGGATTCTCCCATGACTCGGCATCCCTTCCAATTGCATACGTGTTGATCAAAACCCGAGTGCGAGCTGGTATTTCATACTTGTTGTCAATGGTGCATTCGGCCATAGACTCTCGGGGAACAAGAAGAGGGACTGGGGGATGCAGTCGCATCGTTTCTTTGATCACGGCCCTCAAGTAGTGAAGATGCGGAAGATCAGATTCCTCCACCCTTCCTCTGCTTGCTGCGATTTGCCTTACTTCATCTTGTGCTCTTGCCATTACTTTTGGATGCCTCGCCAGCTCTGTCATTGTCCACTCCAGAGTTGCGGATGTTGTGTCCGTTCCCGCTACGAACATGTCCTGTAAATATGTTAAATATATATACAGATATATAGATGCATATATCCATTAGCATATCTACTGATCAGTTGTAGCCATTACAATTGATTAGCATGTCAACACTTTCCGTTTACGATCCTTTTCTTTTTACCATTCAATCCAACTCTCTTCTCGCGAAATAAATATTAGTAGTAATTTATTTGGCATTTCATCTACTTTATATTTAAGTTTCGAATAACATTGAAAAGAAAAAACAAAAAGATTTATAGCGTGAGTGATTCTAAAAGGTCCCGGTAAATGAAAAAATTAAATTGTTTTTAAGATCAATAAAACTTCAAAAAATCATGTTGTCCACTTTCATTACTCTTTTAAACCCATATACAAGTTTAACCTTCAAATAAATAAATTTATAAAATAATAATAAGTTGACCTTCTTGTGGAATAGGACGAAAGAAGTAGCGATCATCCTATTCCTACCCGCCGGCCGACGGGGGGCAGGCTGAGTCATCATGATCAAGAATTCTTCTGCATGTATTCCACGTCTCTATATCTTGTCGTAATATATATATATATATATATATATATATATGGTGTAACTAGTAGTAGTAGGAGGAGTACTACTTGGCAAATCAGCAGCACAAATCTTAATCAATCTGCCCATTGTTAATTAATAAAAGAAAAAACAAACAGTTGATGAGGTGCGGTGCGTAGTGCGTAGTGCGTACCAGAACAAGAGCTTTTAGATTATCATCGGTGATAGGAACTTCAAGATCATCTTCTTGTTTTTGGACCCTCAGCAAAACATCCACAAAGTCTTCTTTCTCCAAAACGTCACCGCTCCGCCCTCTTTTTTCACTCAAGTGCTCGTTGATTATTTCATCACAAACCATTCTCAAATCTTTCAGATTCTTGGTCAACCTTCTCTTCATCCCGCTCACCGAGTTAACCCACCTCCAACGCGGGAAAAAGTCTCCAACGCAAAACCCAGCCAGCAGAGCTTGAGTTTCGGTCAACACTCCCACCAATTCCTTCTTCTTTCCTCCTCCTCCGCTGCTCGTCTCATGATTCTCATCCATGAACCTTTTCCCGAATGCAACGCGGCAGAGGATGTGGTTGGCGAGTCTGAAGAACGACTCGCTCACGTCGAGTTCCGAGTTGGAGTGGGCGGCCACGGCGCGCAACATGCGGTTGACTTCCTCGTCTCTGATGAGTCGGAACGAGTTGACTCGCTTTGAACTCAAAAGCTCAGTGACGCAGACTTTCCTCGCCTGCCGCCAGTAGGGGCCGTACGGAGAGAAAGTAACGTCGGAGCAGCCGAAAGAGAGGTACTGAGCGGCAATGAGCTGAGGGCGGTTGGCCATGAGGTGATCATGAGTTTTGAGAATATGTTCAGCGAGTTCAGGAGAGGAGATGACCACGGTGGGCACCTGGCCGAGCTGGAGGTAGATGATGGGACCGAGTTTATGAGCGAGTTGAGCGAATGTAACGTGGGGCATGGCCGTTAGGAGGTGTAGGTGACCGATAAAGGGGAGTTTTGAGGGTGAAGGCGGGAGGGTGACAGATTGCGATCGAGTCCGCGGATGAAGGATATGGTAATAATACAAGTAGCAGAAGCAAAAGGTGGCAAAAGATAATAGAGATGATATGCAGATGATTTGGAGCGTGAAATCGTCCATTTTATCTATTTATTTATTTTGTTTCTGTATACTCTCTAACGTGCGTGGTAACCTCTGTGAAACCTGAAATTAATGGAGAAAATACAAATTCAGGGAGAGAGCTAAAGCTATGGAATTCATGAGATGTGAGAAAAAGGAGAGAAGCTTTAAGAGTTTTATTGAGCTAGTACCAACTTATCAAGGGGGGCGTTTGATCTTCATCTTTCTCCAAAGATAGAGATGTTGGTTGTTTGTTGTGCATAAAAGTGAAACAGTTGAGACAAGCACCAGTACAACTACAAAGACGTATAGCTGATGATATCGTCGGTGCCGACTTCCATCCCAATTCCCAAGTCAGCAACACACACAGGTGCATGCTCAAGTAATTGCCTTGTGCAGCGGCCACGCCGTATATGCATATACGTACACCAGGATGCATTCAATCTTGGCGTCTGCAATTTTAGGAAAATCGTTAATTACAACCCAAAACTAAAAGAAGAAAATGAAGGGTCATAAAAATTAAAAAGAGAGGGATCTAGGGCGCCCTTTCCGGTTCCCTCCTCTTTTTTTTTTTTTTTTTTTTTTATAAAAAAGAAAACGGTAGAACATGGACAAAGGTCTAATTAGCGGCATGACAAGGCATGTCTGCTGTGAGAAACATAATAATGCTATCTATTTCTATTTTCAAAACAAAGGGAGCACCGTGAAAACCGGGGGTGGCTCGAGGAAATCTGATGAAAACTGAACCACCATCAGATCAAACAAATGTATGGTGGCCCGCGACACACACAATTAATATGGTGGCCCAGTAGAACTCAATTAGGATTTTGTTTTCCACCATCACATCACATCACTTGTATGCATAGTTATTAAACCCGGCCCGGCCCGACGGTCGAACCGGTCAAACCGGTGGACCGGTCATTAGACCGGGCCGGGTTTGGAATTAGATCGTTTGTGCAAAGAGACCGTTGACTTAGTCAACAACCCGGCGGTCGAACCGGATTAAACCGGAAACCCGGCCGGTTTTGGCCGGTTTTGTCACTAACCGGATTTTGTGGAAAAATTATATTGTTATTGTTGGAACTCGAACCTCTGCCCCAACACTACCGCCTGCTTACCACCAAACTACTTCCAAATATGTTGATATAGTAGCTTTATTATGATATATAAATGGCTTTTCAATTCTATCTTTTTTTCTCTAAAACAAATTTATTTGGAAATCTTTTAATAAAAATTTATTACCCTCCAAACTCTATAAGTTATAAAATGGATTCCAAAAATAACATATTACATGATTCATTTAAAGACAAATATTATTTTTAATAATTTTTTACACTTAAAATTCATAAATAAGCTAGATAATTACACTAAATATAGATAAAATTTTACACTTGAAGTTTGGTATATTAATAAATAACTTTATATTTGATTGATTCTTATATGAATTAATTATTTTATAACAAATTAAATTAAATGAGCTTTTGTTATGGCATTATTTATTACAATTTATATCATATATCATATATAAATAATTATGAAATATAATATTTAAATATATGTAGTGACCCACCGGTTCACCCACTCACCCACTGGTTCAACCAGTAACCCGTTGACCCACCTCCTTCGTCGGGTTCCTTCCCGGGTTGGGTTTAATAACTATGCTTGTATGTTCTCTTTTTGTATGTTCTCAACTAGCTCTAAGATGAGATGACCAGCTTGGTCTGTGGCCATGATCCCTATTCCTGACATTGGGGAACTCTGCTGCTGTTGGTGGTACGCGTCCTCTCCATTGTCAGCTTCTGTATGACATATGACATTCACTGTGGTACACAATTTTAGTGTAGACTAAATTGATACAAAATTCACGATTACTACGTTAAATGTATATAAATTTGCATCAAAATTATATTAATTTACATAATTACACAGAATTGGACAGAAGTATCTATATTTTAAAAAAAAAAAAAAGAAAGAAGGGCCCTGGATCCGAAAGAGTATAAATTTGCATCAAAATTGTATTAATTTACATAATTACACAGAATTGGACAGAAGTATCTATATAAAAAAAAAAAGAAAAAAGAAGATGGGCCCTGGATCCGAAAGAGAAGACTAGCACCGTTGTATGTTGCAGTGCTGCTGGGATTTGGTTCCTTTTCCAAGCAAGCATGTTTAAATAAAAATGGGTTGATGATGGTTGCCAAGCTTTTTATTGCAGTGCCGATCCATTGAGAAAATTGGAATTGGACTGAAGGAAATAGGCCTATGTTAACGATGGATGAGATGAGTTGCAGCTTCCTTGAAACCCGGTCAGCCCGAAGCTTCAACTGCTATAAGGTTTTAGGCCCAAATCCTTCTTTTTCCTATCACACAGGTTATTTGCAGGAGTATTTGGAGCAACCAGAACACAGAAATTGATGATTTCAGCATGTTGGATTCTATATTTTCGTTAATAGTTGGAAACTAATATTACAGTGGTGATTTTGTCATATCCATTTAAAGGCGAACTATAATTCCATATTTGCATTTAAAGCTCATATCCCCTTTTCTTTTTCACGTTTAAATCATGCATATATAAAGCTGCAAGTAAATGAAAAGGGAAAGCAATAAGAGCTTGGGCAAAACAACAACAACAACAACAACAAAAAGAAAAAGAAAAACCAAGTCCTTCGCCGTTGAATTGTATTCTTTTTTCTTTTTTTTTTTGGTTTTTTTATTTAAATTGAACTACTCAGCTTTATGTACCACAAAATAATAATAATAATAATAATAGGTCCTGTATAAAGACACGAGATTTTGGGCATAATTAGGTGTAATGCGCTAAAGTCAGTCAACAATAAATACAATGAATATGGTAGACAGAACTAAGAAGATGCCCGAAAGCATAATGATGATATTTAACAATATATAAATTGGCTTGTGGTGGTATAATATGTTTGTCTGAGTAAAGCAATGCGGATTAGGATATTCAGATCAATCAAACAACTAGATTTGAATTGATTTGATACACTGAAAAGAGAAGTTGCAGAGATGGACAGTTCCTTGGCCTTATTATTATGCGTGAAAAAAAAAATGTTAAAAATAGAAATTTAATACTAGCAAAAATTACAAAGGAAAGCAAGTTGCAGGCGAAGAGTTTTTAGAGCTGCATGCCCCCCATGAATGAAACTGGACCAACCAATCTTTTTATTGTTTTACTTTGTTGAAATTCTCAATACCCACAGACCATCCTGGCATACATATATATATATATATATAAACCATGTCAACGACAAGGACTCACGTCTGTTTCTCTATTTTCTTGCAGTCTGGTTGGCAATCATTTGCATAGTGCGAACAATGGTGGTCATTGGAAAAAAGAAAAAAAAAATTGCAGCAGAGAAGAAAGCAGTAATTTATTAGGTACGGAGATTGATTTGTTGGTTCTCTCAATTATGATCAGCAAGGCAAGCAGCTCATAAACTATACAACCTTTCTTCGGTGCCTTAGCTGGAAGAATCTTTGCTTCGCCTTATAAGCACCTTAATTTTCTGGCAGCAGCTCCTACACTTTACGGCCCGGCCGGCTTCTTGATTAGTTCTCCTCTGCGGTGGTTGTTCGTGCGGTCGAGAATGGGAAGACAGCCTTGTTGTGATAAGGTAGGGCTTAAGAGAGGACCATGGACCGTTGAGGAAGACAACAAGCTCACGAATTTCATCCTCAACAATGGCATACAATGTTGGAGACTTGTCCCAAAACTGGCAGGTACAGTCTCCTGACCGATCGGGTCTTTGCCGCTTGTTTACCGTTTACTTGATCATCAGCCAAATTAAGCTCATGTCTAACAAACTTGAGTTTTTGTGTCGTTCGCGGTTATTAATAATGAAGGTTTGATGAGGTGTGGGAAGAGCTGTAGACTGAGGTGGATTAATTACCTTAGGCCTGACCTCAAGAGAGGAGCTTGGACTGAAGCGGAGGAAGACATGATCATTGAACTTCATTCTCGGCTAGGCAACAGGTAATTGGTTGATTAGCTGCTTTTTCCAACGTTTAATTTTGCGACCTTTGGGAACTTTCTTGAATTTTTATGTCTCTCAATTGCATTTTCTAATGACCAAAATCGTCTTGCAGGTGGTCCAAAATAGCTGCACATTTTCCTGGACGCACGGACAATGAAATCAAGAACCACTGGAACACCAAGATCAAGAAGAAGTTGAAGTTCCTTGGCTTGGACCCTCTGACCCACAAGCCTATCGATCAACCTGAGAATTGTGTCTCCAAAAGTGAAGAATTTCGCGAAAATAGCTCCTTGGGAGAACAAGAGGTCTTGAAGCTGGAATTGCAAGAGACTTTGCAGTCTGAGGACTTCCAAACGCAACAAAATGAGAAGAATCTCAACACAAATTTACACGAGCAACAGAGCACGGGAACCTCCAGTTCTAGTTTAGACGAGGAAAAGCCTAATCTGGCTAGCATGTTCAATGAGACGAGAGAATTTCCAGAAACGGGGTCAATTGAAATCCAGAATTCAGAGCCCCTGGATGCTATTTCTTACATTGTTGGAACGAATGATATTCAGCTGGAAGACCCTTTTCAGAATTGGATTGATAGCCCACTTCCATGGGATGTTTTCAGCTCTTTAGGAGAAAATTTCCTCTGAATCAAAAACAGTGTAAAAAAAAAAGAGAGGAAGAACACAAATGGGTCTTCCTCCGGACCAAAACATCGTCTTCTTGTGAATTATACCTTGTACATCGCAAGTTTTCCGAGCCGTACCTAGCAGGCCTCCGTTTTTCTTAAGAAACACTACACTTCGATGCAAGACAAGAAGGAATGGATTCCATTAGTATCCACTGAGTAAATTAAACGAGTGGGAAGAAACAATCATTGCAATAAAACAGAAAGAACCAACAAGGTATATCAAGTTACCACAAGCCTAGCAGAATCAGGATCGTAATTAACTACTAGAATGGGTCTGCATGCTTACTTCCTACTTTGATCTTTATGGATGAAACATCTCAAATAAATACTAGTAAAAAATAATAATAATAAGTCGATTGAGCAAGCATGTGTGATCATGATGACAAAGGTTTATTTCGAGTTTATGACATTTGTAATCTCTTTGATTCTTGATAGACTTCTCAAACAAAATTCCAATGTGCTATATGTCGGCTTCAAATAAAAAGCAGTTAACCTGGTAGTTTTCATCAACTAAAACAATCATAGATTTGGTTCTTTCCAGTTTCAATCAGCCCAGCTCATGTCCACTTCTGATACAGGATTGGGGAGCTAAAAGAATATTAAAACAAGTAGTTTAGGTGCTTCAAATGTTATATATACGGTGTAAAGTTTTGTAGTCTTTCAGATCCTGCTCAGTGAAAAATAAAAGTACGTTTTTTTCTTTTTTGGTTTTTTGGGGCAAGAACTAAGAAGTGCAGCTTATATCTCTTGCATAAATTATTAACAACTTTAGGGTAGAAAATCTTCAATTAGGAAACAATTAATCATTCAACTGCAGAATTTTGATCTTAACTACGGGTTTTCTTGTTGGCCTTTTCCAAAATTAAAGGAAGCAAAAATAGTCCATCCAAGCCTCAAAAATGCAACATCTTGGTAAAAGTGACTATTATTTGTTTGTTGTGTGCTCGTTCTTTTTTTGTTTTTTTGACTCTAAAGTGCATCATCCTGGTAAAAGTGATTATTATTTGTTTGTTCATTCTTTTTTTTTTTTGGGGTAGGAAACTTTTAGTCATCACTCACCAAATAACTCATCAAGGATAGACTAGAGTTGTAATTGAACCGAGCTGCTTGCGAGCAAAAACTTGACTCGAACTCGAGTTGACCGAGTTCGAGTGCCTCGATAAAGCGAGCGAGCGAGTCAAGTTCGAGTATCCAGAAGCAATGGTCGAAACCTCGTCGAGCCTTATAGAACTTTTAAATTTTAATTCTTTAATATATTATTATTATAAAATTACTCTTATACCCAAAAGAGTTGTTGAATTTACGAAATGTTTCAGGTCATATAAAAATTTTTAAAGGATTTTCGCTCAAAAATTGTCAAGAAAATGAAATTTTCTAACTCGAACTTGATCGAGCTCGATAAGGCTCGCATTAACTAGAGCCCATGAGAATCGGGCTCGAGTTCTATGAGCAAGCATCGAGCTCGAGCTCAAGCTCTAATAATACTACTTGCTGAGCTCGAGCTCAAGGACCTTTTTTGTATGTCGAGTCGAACTCGAGTATCACTATACTCGAGCTTGACTTGACTCGATTACATCCTTGGCATAGACTACTCATTTTAGAAAAACCAAGCTCCCCTAAATGTTATTTGCACTCTTATTTTTTTTATCGCACTTTCCCTATCATTTTAATTATATAATTTTTATTTATTAAATAATATGATCAAATAAATGGTGGGATTGTAAATAACAAAAAAAAGTGTAAAATAACATTTTCCTCATTTTATTGAGAAACAACGTCAAATAGGACAATCAGTTTGAAATTACTTCTGGACTCTCTCCGGGGAAAAAAAAAAAAAAACCTCTGGACAAGTCCAGAAACTATATCAGCAAGCCTTCCCAGCCCCACAGCTTGGACTACTTCAGCAACTTCGCACCTTCCAGAATTGTCCACCCTCCCTTTTATATATCTAACATCTTCCTGCATTATCAATGTGAAGGCCATTCTGCAAAATCTCAAGGATCTTCTTAGTCGAGTTCGACCAAAATGTCTCACTGTTTATCAAATCTTCCAATCTCTCAACCACACGTGACTCCCCAAAGATGTTCGACAACTTCAAATCGCTCTTATGGTAGATCTTCCCGCCACTTGTTGAGCCCAGTTTCTAGTAGAAATATCTGTAAAGGCATCAGAGCTATGACAGGTGAGGCCAGAGACAATCTTGACCATTTGCAAAGGGCTAACAAGCGGCAAACTCCCCAGCCCAGAAATAAATCAGCCCCTGTTGCACCAATAGGTAAAGCCAAATGCCCAATTGGCATATTCATGGCTTAGTTTGGTTGTTGGCCTATGAAAGACTAATTTTTTCCGAATTTCTGTAGCAGAAATGTAGAGGGTCTGAATCGTCGTTTCTTGAAATGTAATATTCGTGCAGTTATTTTTATTTTTACTTTTATTTTTAAATAAGGCTATTAGTCTGAACGATTTTTAATTGTGAATATGCAGGGTTGTGGGACAGGTTTCCAACAGCAAGAACCGTGCAGCAAATGATGGAGACGATGGAGAGACTAATGGGAGACCCTTTTGCCTACAGTGGAGGATGGCCATCGTCTTTGGCCCCAGAGACTGGGGGGTACAGCAGGGGTAGGACGCCATGGGAGATAAAGGAAAGCGATGGGGAGTACAAAATGAGGTTCGACATGCCTGGTATGACTAAAGAAGATGTGAAGGTGTGGGTTGAGGAGAAGATGCTGGTAGTGAAAGCCGAGAAGGTGCCAAAGAAGAAGAATGAGGATGGAGAAGAGGAGGAGAAAAATGAGTGGTCTGCTAAAAGCTATGGGAGGTACAATAGTATAATTGCTTTGCCAGAGAATGTGCAATTTGAGAAGATTAAGGCTGAGGTTAGGGATGGTGTTCTGTACATTACCATACCAAAGGCTAGTAGTCATGGCAAGATTTTGGACATTAACGTTGAATGAATGTCTGCAGCAAAGCAACATGGGTTCAATGTCAATGATTTAAGGTCTCTTCAAATGTTACAATGTCCAGACAAGTATCTAAGTCTGATTGTATAGCTGATGGAATGGTTATATTTACGGATACAATAATGAATTCTGCTTGTATTTTCGAAATTGTAAACTGTACCATCAAGAAGTACGGTCACTTCATCAATATACTAAATGGGTTGTACCGGATGTTAAAAGTGGGTGGTATGTTTTCGGAAGAATCTAATTGGAGAGAGTAAAATCAAATGATGATTTAAAGTTAAGTTTATTTGAGAAAAGAACAGCTAAACATGGAAGATAAGAAGGAAAGTACCAGAAGGCATACCATTAGAAAATGGAGGTACCAGTTGCAGCAGGAGGTGAATATGCAACAACGATCCAAGGGCGCATACCTAAACGGAAACTAAGCTCTCACTCTCGACCTATGTAATAAAGTGTAGGACAATTAGTCAACGCCGTTGTTTGGATTGCCGTCGAAAAATTACGTCGTTTTCCGTGATCACATTTCCCTATCACCTTTTTCTCTCATATATATCAAATCGCTACAGTAATTTTTCCATAAAAATGACGAAAAATACAATCCAAACTGGGTGCAGCTCTCATTCACGACCCATGTAATAAAGTGTAGAACAATTAGCCCGTGTCGTTGCATAACTACTCCCTTCGTCCCAATTATTTAATATTATACTTCTCTTTTCAATTTTACTCTCATAAATTTAAAACTTAAATTTGAATTGTAACATAAATATGATTAAAACAAAGGGTTATATTGAAAAAAGAGATTAAAAGGTATTTTAACTTATGTTTTGGAATATTCTAAAATTGAAAATATGACACTTTTAATGAAACAGAGAAAGTATTGATCAACAGACTCCACTTTCCATATTGGATAAAAGTGCAAACTTATAGTTGCAGAAGTAGAAATAATAGCACTTGAAATAATAATATATTGTTTCTCTAAAGTAAAGATCCAAGTTCATGAATACCATCAATAGCTACGTGAGGTGCAGTAATAAAGGCGATAATTAATATGAAAATTGTGGTTAATAAGGTAGGGATCATCTTGGAGATTGTGAAATGTTTATTTTCAAACTCTACGTTATTACACGGTACTAAATATTAGAGGATAATGGAAATATTTGGCACAAATTAACTCAATTAGTAAGAACGGGTCAATTTCTTACAAAAGAAAGTGTGTTCAAATCTTATTGTGGATTAAGAGTTGTATTAATGAATGATTTATAAAAAATTCTATAAATAATTTGAAGATATGTAAGAATTTCAAATCTACTTGTAGACTAAGAACGTCAATAAACCATGTATGATCCAAGAGGCATGCCGCCCGTGGTGCTAGTTTGAGACCAAAGGGACCGTAAGTACGTATTGGAGCTCTTCCGTTGGTATAAAAATTGGGTTATCCTTTTGTGTATTTGAGCTGAGCCTTGGCCCAATTTGTTTCTACGAACCATACTGCTTTCATTTGTTTTATGAAATCGGCTAATGGGCCTTGTATAATACCTTATTCGTCATTAATTTAAAGCGAAATTAATTAGCTGCAAGTTAAAAACATGAGAAAAGATTAGGGGATGAAAGCCCGCGCAACATGCGGGTGTTGGGTGCCTCTATTTAAAATTTTTTACAGCATTTTTAAGAAAAATACAATAAGATTGAGAAAGTAGAAAGTATTGCAGATATAAGTTATTAAAAAAATTATGCATATAAAGTAAGTATCATATCAGTTGAAATAAAATTACTCATAAACAAATCTTTTCACACCATACACAAAAATAAAGTTAATTTTTAAATGCACATAGTATTTCTTCTACATATGTTAATCAAGAACATAAAAAGAAATGTTAAAAAAGGCTAACTAAATAACATAATAAGAAAACATCCAAAGTTGAAGTTATAATATATTACTTTTTATTATTCAACATCAACATAACAAATGAGAGCAAAAACTTTTTTTTTTTAATGTCAAATTGATAATTCTCATCCTTATACTACAGTTTATTACAAGATTATAAAAGTTTAACAATTAGTTTTGTTCTTATT